ACAACAATATGTTCTTCCTTTACCCCTGTACTGCTTTCCTGTAATTTTCCCTAGTTTCGTGAATGCTGATTTCAAGTTTCTAAGGCGTAACCTCTGAATGATCAGCCGTGTCTCCCATGTTCCGTTATCTATGTTGATTGCCAATAAGTGTAATGCTCATGTTGATGCGTGCTTGAAGTAGGCAATATCTTATCTGATTGCACCCATCCTCTACACATTGACTTGTGTGCATGCAGATCCCACCCCTCCACCTGTTCCAAGTACAAGGGTGGCCAAGCTAAGACCTGGAATGAGGGTATGAAATCTCTAACCAGGAGTCTGGGTCACATAGGTCTCGTTAGGCTCCTTGGATGCGGACCTCGGGCTGATCATACCCGATGGTTACACACACTAAGTGATATGTCTGGGTGTGGTGGCGTTCTTGCATCTTGTCGATTTCTCTTCAAAATTAGTGCAATGAAATGCTAAATTTTCTCTTCGATCCTACTTTCAACCTTTCCTATCTTTCACGTTATGTTCATCCAAATGGACAGCCTAAAGACAACAACCAAAACAGGTGCACGATAGTGCATGGTTTATGGTTGTAGAAACTAAAAAACTGAAACTAAACATTGGGCGTATATCGAAAAGAGTGAGAGGATCTTCACCATCTATCACTGATTCTTCATTTGCGCTAATTTACGTGTTCGAACAGGTCTTGGGGCACTAGCCGAAAAACATCTACCGTTTTGCACGCTATTCTTCTTTTTGTTAGTGAGTAGAATTGTGATCGGGAATGGAAAAGGAAGCTCTTTCGTCAAGTCTCTTTGAATGACTCATGGTATGCGGTTGTGATCGAAAACGAGATAGATGATGCAGACAACACGAAATCCAATTATCTCTTTCACAAGTGAATAACAGGAAATTATTCGCTAAGGTTACGCGTAAAGTTACGGGATCTGATGGGAAGGTTGGTTAGACACCCGTGTTCTCTTGGCCCGGAACCCGTGTTTGTTCTTTCTTTCTCCCTTTCCATGTCAAAAGCGAAAGTTACCAATGATCAACACGCGTCCGCTGAGAAAAATGGTCTTCCATTCAAGTTTTTCACATTCAACGAATATAGTTGTGAAAATGTTTGCTTGCTCAGCACTAATTTTTAGTTCCAATGTTGAATTCCCATATCAGAATCGAAGGTTCCTCTTCACCGTATTTCTCCGGAATTATTGTTTTCTATAATATATGAGTGTTCCACAATTCTATTCATGCTAAATGAAAGCCAATGCTTTGTTGTAGGCACTGCAATCACGGGTGAATAAGATTAGGTTTGTATTTTTTTATGTTGAAGTTGATTCGGAGTTAATAACCGTTAACCGAATATTCCGCGATTCATTTCTGGTTTGTACACTGACTATTGAACGATTCAGTGCTCGCACACTTGTACTCCTGTTTGTATTGCCCGCTATTACACCGGAAACACTTCTTTCAAACCCTTTGTGGTCGTTAAATAGTTTTTTCATCTCTGATCTTCAACTGAATTCATGATATAGACTATAAAACACGTTTCCTATCCTGTTCTCCTTCACGGATTAGAACATATCAAACGAATGCACCTAAGCGCTAGTATTTTTTTCGGCCTCAAGTCCGTGAATTTTTCCGAGATGGAATTGGTCGAAATTTTCCTGATTGTGATGTATCGAATTAAATGATGAACAGTACGCACAGGAAAGAAAATAGGTAATCATATCATGTGATCACCTGCAAGGTTGCATGCAAGATATTATACTACCGAGAACCGGAAACTTCGTTAGTTTCAAATTTAGTCGTGCGGAGAACTTGGCACCGGAAGCCTCCACGTGGTCGGAAGTGGGTGTCTTGGTTTTTGTCCTTGGTCGCCTATCGCTTTGACCTCGTCAAATGTTAATATCCGACCAAGCGTCCCAAACAGTCACTCTCGAGGAAGCTCCACCGAATACCTTTACTTGACGATGTTCTCCTACCAAAGTAATTGAACACGAAGGTCGAATGCTGGGCTACGATACGGTCAATTAACCGTGAGCCGTTTCTCTTTGGGCGTGGGCTATAACCCTGATTCTAAATCAATCAGGATGAGGCGTAAAAAAGGCGTGAAAAGCAAACTCACTGGTTGTGACATTAGTCGCTGATTTTATTTGCTACCTAAATGTATTGAGTGCATTGAATGCTCATTTTATCATTCCGAAAAATCGAGTTGTCGGATAGTTGTCGAATAAACACAATTTCGCCAAAAGCCATCGTCCGTTTTAGTGGGCATAATCTGCCTGAATTGTCTCACATGAATCGACAATGTTGGACTTCTGTCGTTCAATTTTATTTTTTTCCCGAGGATTGCGGAATTGTGGAGCACTTCCCAATTCCGTTTATATATATGTATTTCCAAGAACTTATAGCCCTACTCTTTTCAAAAGCAGAATTAACAAATTAATTTGCACTTGAGTGATCCTCGCGTACATTCCGTTTACAGTATATCATTGATTATGCTTGTGAACCCTTTTACTGTAAATCACTTTGTGTGTAATAAAAAACGGTATCTGGTACACTTGTGTAATTGGGGTTAAACCTGCTATTGACTCAGTCGTTGGACAGCGGCTTTTCAGCACACAGTCTTTCATCGCATTGTTATCAGAATACCCCTACGCATAATATACTGCCCTCTTTTCATG